CAACGGCACGTCGTCATCGTTTTCTGTACAATAGAAGCGGCAGGGAGCATCAACCTTGTACAGTTGAGCCCCTCGCGACCACGCTTTCTACTTCCGGAATATCAGGCTGAGATCGAGGTACTGCGTGCCGTCTCTATGCTCTGAGACAGAGGCTCGTAGGTTGGGATCATGTACTTGATGTTGATGAAAGCGTCCTAGCACGTTTTGCAGCAAGCCAACCCAATCGTCACGCTGGAAGCTGCAGCATCGCCTCCGTAAACACAATGAATCAAAACCTGACCGAATTCCTGGGATGCAGCCCCTCAATTCAGCTTTTGACAGACTGCGTGAAACGTACCAGCAACTGCCAAGCTAGCGGGCTTGCACATGTCGGACAATTCAGGATCGCTCACCCAGAACACTAACACTTACTTGTTTGCAATTATTTTCTGACTGCTCGAAGCACGTAATTACAATACCATAACTATCAAGAACTGCACCGCTGCGACTGCAAATGCTACCTTTCCTTTGTGAAGAGAACTTGTGTAGGTTACTGCCATGCGCATCACCTACATCATACGTCATTGCTGCCTCAAGCATGAAGCCTCGAATCCTCCTCTGATAGCCTCCCTCAAACCATCTCTGAGCAAGTTCCTGTCTTTAAGATAGTCCTCGCCGCCGTGGATTTCGAAGATCTCTAAAGTCTCGTCGATGAGCTCTCCGAGGTTGTTGCCTAGATTCACTAGATTCAGCTCGACAACTGGGCGGTCGTGGCTCTGGGCCTCGCTTTGCCTCTTTAGAGTCAAGTCCCATGCTCGCCAAGCCATCATCTCTGCAAGTTGGCACGAATTTGTAGTTAATTCCTACATCTTGCATGCCATACCAAAACCAGCGTCCCATCGGCCTAGGCTTCCAGCAAGACCAGATGATCCAGCTAGCAAACCCATGAAACATAGACTGCGACGGCCTTAAGAGGGCGTTGCCCGACAGACCCAGCTGCTGCGTTGATGCACAAGCCTTTGCTGCTGAGGCACGCTTGCGCTGCGCATAGTCGATCTGATCGAAGGTGCTTGGGCCTCGGGAACGGAGCATCCCATCCCCATCTAAGCTTCATCCGAGTGCCGGCGACAACAGGAATCAAGGCGGAATGACGAAAAGCGCCAGCTTCGACGACCCCCAAGCCAGCATCAGGAGCATCAGTCGGAGTCGATTTCTGCTCGCACTCTCGCCCACAGCGCACATCACCACCATCAGCCGGATGCCTTTTCTCCCATCCAACCCTCGCCTTACACCTTGGTATCCAGAACGTCATGACTACATCCCACCTGCGAAGCCTTCCTTCGTCGGTTTCTTGAATTCAACAGGTGCCATCGGCAGAAACGCCTCTGGTGGGAGCAGTGGCTTGTAAAGCATTTGGTCGCCACACTTTGCTTGCCCAGCAGACTGAGCCCCAGACAGCACTGCTTGAAAATGCTGAAGATGGGGAGGATCTGGCGATAGTACCTTAGGCTGAGGAGTCTGGTGCCAGAGTCGGAGCGCTGAGAGCTGAGATGCGTCAAGTCTTTCCATGCTTGCAGCTGCAGGGTCAGAAAAGAGGTTGGCGCTCCTACACAGTCCCGGCCCCTCCGCTGACTGCACACGAGCATTCGTCCTTCAAAATATAGGTTCATCTGTCAAGTCGTCAAGTTGACCCGGCACGAAGAGAAATACTTCTGGACTCATCGAGTGAGCCACATCTGTGCTCACCAAGCCGCTCCAACTCTGTCTGCTTAGCTGAAACTCTGCTTGAACTTGAGATAGGCTGCCACAAGCTAGGTCCTAACCCCGTAGGCCATTATTGTCAGTCTCGTGATGTTCATAGGCCGAGCTGCGGAACCAAGGCTTCACCAATCATCTCCCCTGAGAGAACCAACGCCTGCAGACCGAGGCTGTCACAAAGATGCCACATTTGATAATCTTGCTCTTTTCCTCTTGACGTGAGAGAGTTGTACCAGCAAATCTCAGACCATCGACCAAAGGAATGTCTTATAGACCCACTGTGTGGGGAGAACCAAGTGCGCTTGACGGGCGGCTTCGCCCGCACTACTGGGCTCGAACGAGCCCCTAACCTTCCCTGTTAACTGCCAGGAAGTCCTGAAGCCTTTTTCACCCCAAACCCCCCGCACCAAAGCCTGCTTTCAAGGGCACTCACCCAGCCTGCAGCACCTTCAGGGTGGTGTTGATGACCTCCGCATCCCGGGTGTTCAAGGCCATCCTCGGCGCGTGCAGAATTCAGGATTCGAGTCTCCAGTCCGTCGAGTTTTCGTTTTTGGATTGGGACTTCGTTTTGGGGGTTTCGGATGAACTGCCAAGCTGCTAGGCTTTTTGAAGTTTAGTCTGCCCGAGATGTAATGTTGGAGACAGGCCTTCTGCCAGAAGCAATCACAAATTTGCTCTCAACAGTAAACTTGTCTTAAGTATAAAGGGACAAAGATCCGAACAGAGCAGCTGGGGCAACGGTGTCGCATTTCTACGAATGCCAGTTTAGACCCTGAGTTGGCTGCCAAGGCTAGCTTAACCGGTTCTTCGGTGCTTTGGATATCTTGGTTCCATGGCTCACGATTCTGCTCGCTGTGTTGCCGGTAGCTGCTATCCATTAGGTACCGCATTCGTATTGCTCTTGTTTTGAGAATATCTACTGGTCTCTCCAGCCGTGTGTGTCCTCCGAGACCTTCGTGATTGGTACTTATGGTACGGCTGCTACCATTGGCAGTGATGGTGAAGTCGTCGCAGTTGGTGTGGATACTGCTTCATATTCTGTCGGGGATGTTGGTGTGGTTGCGAATGCTGCAACTGCAAACGCATACCCTGCTGCTCCTTTCCTTCTTGCTGCATCTTCTCCTACTGCAATACCTGCAATACCACTACGGACCAGGACGGTTGTGACAATCATAAAGAGAGCTGTTTCTGTGTATGCCATCAGCTTTGATTGTGTGACTACTATTACCTGTGAGGCTTTTCCAGTTGGAACTTGTGCTACTGGCACTACTATCACTGGTGCTACGGATGATCACTGCTGTTGCTCTCGTTACTGCCCTTCGCGAGGGCGCGGCTTGATCGGCATGATCAGCTGAGGGACGACAGGCAAGATCTCAGCAGCAAGATCGACTCAACATCCAAGCCAACTCTTCCACAACCCACATCAAGACCCCGCGTAATTCCTTCGTAGTTGCGGTTCCGGGTCTGGGCTGCACAAGTCTTAACGTCTCGAGACATGTAGCTTCGAAGGACTCACGGCACCCCGACGTTCGGATCAAATCTGAATCATTAAAGTCACCCAGCCCCAGGACAGAAGCCCAACACCAAGTGGGACAATCCAAGGCGGCCTTACTGCCCCCGCGCTCGAGCAGGTTGAAGACCCCCTGGTGCTTGAACGACTACCACTCCTGCTACTCTTCCTATTGCAGCACACTATCTCACGGACTTGGGGTTCAATTCCTTGCGTAGAGGCTTAATCCTGGTACTATGATCATGTCCTTTTTCCATCTGCCTGTAGAATACATAGTAAAGCATGAACATATTTCCATCCTCTGGTATCTTTGCCGTTCATGTTGCGCCTACTCACCTGCGAAGGACAGATACCCACACTTTGGCGCGGGTACCAAAACTTAAAAGCACGATATTGATAAAGCGAAAGGCCTCGACCGCGAGGAATCGGTAAGGATCTTCCTTTTCTCGCAGCCTGGCATTTCGGAACTTTGGGGGTAGCCCGGTGTCTGAACAGGACTAGACTTTTCGTAATGAAGTGGTTATCGCCCCGTTGCAGCCACTGCTACCAGTCCTACAGCTTTACCGTCATCACCACTGTCGCCGCCTTCGCTATAAAATGATTATGAAGACGATGATAGTGATGAGAATTAAGGTCACGATGATGGCCGTGGCGATGGTGGTTGGGGGCGATGATGATGACGATGATGGTCATGGTCATGTGCATGGTCATGAATGAGAACATGATCATGACCACTGTTGTAGCGGTGGTGAGTACTATCGCCACTTACATTGTCAGTATAGCCTGGTTACGAACCTTGTCATTCGATCATCCTAATAAGTACCAGTAGCACTGCTATCAAAAAACACAAAGAACACTTTTACTCGGGACGCCCTTGACATGCTAGGGTCAACTCGATACTACTGCTACTGCTACTACTAC